GTCTTTATGGCACACGGCCGTGTCCTGGGACACGGTCTGGGCGTGCTTAGTGTTAATATCTTGGCACGGGCGTGCGTCTTAGCACGGCCTGGGCGTGCTAACCTGTGGATTTTAACTTGATCCTGAAAAATTTTGACTAAAACAAAAGGACAATTATGGAGAAAATTTGGGAAAATTTGTAACAGAAATAATAGAAACAAATGGAAACAATAATTGAAAAAAGAAAATATCATGGGTTGTCTCCCACAAGCGCTTTTGTTTAACGCTGTTTAAGCTCGACGCACTCAACCAAGTTTAGGTCAAACGAGACTGATGGTATTCTTGACAAGATCAAAGTTGTCATTTTGATAAACTTTCAAACATTGAGCATTAACTTTGAAACTTCGATTAGAATTATCATCCACTATTTCGATGGCCCCATGTGGAAAAATTTCTTTAATTGTGAATGGACCGGACCATCTAGAGCGCAATTTACCAGGGGACTCCGGCACCATGCTAGAGCGCAAATTTACCAGGAAAGAGATGGGAGTCTAGAATTATAGAGCAATATCTGTTTGGCCTACCTTTAGATTCCCGCAGGATAATATGCTTATCATGCCATTGTTTGGTGCGATTTTTATATATTTTGGCGAACTCTCATAAGCAATTGGAGGCGCATTTCAAATCCATCAATATCCAATTGTAGCAACCGTTTTTTGACCAACTTCTTTTGTTTAAAGTTAAAGAAATTGAATTGCCTCAAAACGCCTTATGCTCTACTCAACAGGAAGATGAACAAGCCTTACCGTAACCAATGCGATATGGAGACATCACCGATTAGTGTTTTTGAATGCAGTTTCTGTAAAGCCCATAAGAGCATCATCGAGTTTCTTGACCAGTCCTTCCTAGATGTCCCAACAGTGGTCTCCAGATCTTCTTGATTTCTCTATTTGGGTACTTTCTACTGTCCACTTGTTTTTGAGGATGATAATAGAGGCCTACACGATGAGTAACACATATTTGCAAGAAGAATCTAAATATTTTGTTGGCAAAAATGCTTACCTCCGTCATCTGATTAATTAGCCTAGGAGTGCATGACGTGTGAAAATATACTTCTTAAGTAAAGAATTCATCACACTTTTGGCATCAATTGTTTGGAAGAGCAAACAGCTTCTGCGCACTTGACACATAGTCCAAGCCACACTAGAATTGTATTGGTTGGAGTATGAAATGATGGAAAAGGTCCCATGAAATCAGACCCGCAACCATGCCGATAGATCTCGACTTCAGTATGCCGCTATTTTAAGGGCATCCCATGCTGCTTCAAAATGTTACGGCTAACCTTTGCAACGATCACATAGGGAACAAAGTTAAAAGCATCTTTAAATAGATTAGGCAATACAAACCGGCTTTCCAAAATACGTGCTGCAGTGGTCTTGTTTTGCTCCGCAAAGTCGATCCTCGCACAATTCCATTTGAAATGGCAAAAAATTAAGGACACTCTCCATTTCTCTGCTTCCGGTCATAAGCATCGCCGGAATAACTGATCACATAACAATATTTGAACCAACAAAGGGCCTCCCTCCCCATAGAAGTATTTGATATCAATGGAAAGAACTTTTTCTTTGGTTGATAAAAAAGTTGGGAGGAGGGATTTCGCAAAAAGGTAGTTAACTATATCAGCATATCCCAAGGGGCTTTGTGTGTTTGCCCAACAGTAGAAGTTGCTCAATGGGGAAATTTTCAAAATTGATTTGTAATTCTGTTGTATCTTTTTCCCCCAAATTCTAGCCTGGAAAGGTGGTCAGCCACAAGGTTTTCGGTTTCCCTTTTTGTGCGAATTTCCAAGATCAATTCCTAGCACATAAAACACCCAACGAATTAGTCTCGGTTTGCATTCTTTCTTTTCTAGCAAATATTTGATAGCGAGTGATCAGTGTAAACTTTTGGCTCCAATTAAGTAGGCTCTAAATTTGTCAAAAGCAAAAACAATAGCTAGCAGTTCTTTTTCAGTGGTGGCATAATTTAATTGTGCATCATTTAATGTGCGAATAGCATAATAAATGACGTGCAACTTCTTTTCCTTTCTTTGCCTAAGAACTACTCCAACAACATGATCACTAGCATCACACATAAGCTTAAAGGGAAGAGTCCAGTCTGGTGTGGTAATGATCAGGGCGGAGATCAACTCCTTCTTCAACTTGTTAAACGCATTCAAACACTCTTTGTCAAAATTAAAAAGAACATCTTTAACTAATAAATTACAAAGAGATTTTAGAGAAGTCTTTGATGAATCTCCTGTAGAACCCTGCATAACCAAGAAAACTCCTTATTCCCTTCACTGAATTAGGAGGAGGTAGTTTTTCAACTACCTCAATTTTGGCTTTGTCCATTTCAATCCCTTTTTGAGAGATCTTATGCCCTAAGACAATACCTTCACTAACCATAAAGTGACACTTTTCCCAATTCAAAACAAGGTTAGTGTCCTCGCAGTTAGTGTTCCTCTGCATCCGCTGTCATTAACTAAGGATAAGTTATGAAGACATGCATCGAAAGAAGAACCAAATACAGAGAAAGTCATACCATGAAAATTTCAATGAATTTCTCTACCAATTAGAAGAGAGTATGGGACATCATGCATCTTTGAAAAGTTTTGCAGGAGCGAGCATAGTCCAAAGGCTTCTCCTATAGGCAAAAAGTGGCCATACGAAGGACAAGCTGAAAGTAGTTTCATCCTTGATCTTCAAGAGGCAATTGTATTTGGAAGTACACTTTCAATAACCATCGCAAAAATAATAAAGCGGATAACCTGCAAGTCTTTCAAGCATCTTGATCATAAAGGGTAGGGGAAAGTGGTCCTTTGCGGTTTTGCTTTTGTTCAACTTCCTATAATCTAATGCACACAATGCCAACCTGTGACTGTTCTATAGTGGGAATTAATTTCATTGTTTTCGTTAGAGATAACATTCAATACCTCCCTTCTTTGGAATGACTATGAAACGGGACTTAACCCAACTACTATCGAAATTTTGGAATAAATAATGCCAGCATCCAGAAGTTTTTTATTATTTCAGGCCTTGACTACCTCTTTCATATTTGGATTAAATGCCTTTTGATGCTCAATTGAAGGTTTATAGTCTTCTTCCATCAGGATCATATGCATGCATACACTCGGGCTTATCCCCTGTAGGTCTGAAATTGACCATCCTAATGCCTTCTTATGTTTTCGAAGAACTTGCAACAACCTTTCCTCTTGATCAAGTGTTAAGTGCGAAGAGATAATAATAGAAAAAGAATGGTTCTCACCTAAGAATGCATGTTTTAAATGAGGTAGAAGTTGTTTCAGTTCTTGCTTTGGTGGTTCACTTTCTTTCTCATTCATGATGCTTGATTCATTAATTTCATCTTTAATATGCAAAGTGTTTTCCACACATTCATCAATGACATCAATTCGAAAACAATCACCATAGTCCATAGGGAGTTTACATGATTTAAGAACATTAAAAACAATTTCTTCCTGTCCAACCCTTAGAGTTAATTTACCTTCATAAACATCAATTAATGCTCTTGCAGTTGCAAGAAAAGGCCTCCCAAGGATTAAGGATCCTTCCTTGTCTTCATCAATATCAAGAATAACAAAGTCAAGAGGGAAGATGAATGTACCTACCTTTACAAGCACATCTTCTACAATACCTACCTTTACAAGCACATCTTCTACAATTCCTCTTGGATATTTGATCGATCGATCCGCTAATTGTAGAGACATCCTTGTTGGTTTGAGCTCTCCCGTACCTAGCATCTTAAAAACTTCATAAGACATAATATTAATGCTAGCACCTAAATCTGCCAAAGCTTTTTCAAAATCAAGATTACCAATATTGCAAGGGATAGAAAAACTTCCCGGATCCTTTAACTTTGGAGGCAATTTATTTTGGATAATTGCACTGCATTCCTCAGTTAACATTACCGTTCCTCGATCATCGATTTTTCATTTCTTACTAAGGATATCTTTTAGAAATTTCGTATAGCTAAGCATTTGAGGATGAGCTTCAGCAAAAGGAATGTTGATTTGAAGCTTTTTGAATACATCCAGAAACTTTAAGAAGCTCTTGTCATCTTGTGCTTTATTTAACCTTTGTGGGAAGGGGACAGGTGGAGCATAGGGTTTCACTTCTTTTTGCTCTTTTAGGTCAATGATGGGAACCTTTTTTTGTTCTTCCGCATTCTTTTCTTTCTTTGGTGGCTCTTCTAATTGTTTGTCGCTTCTCAAGGTGATAGCCTGTACCTGCTCTTTAGGATTCTTTTCAATATCTTTAGGATTCTTTTCAATATTGCTAGGTAACGTACCTTGAGGTCAAGATGCCATCATGTTTGCAAATTGTCCTAGTTGAATCTCCAAATTTCTTATCGCAGCCTGCTGGATTTTGTGGTTTTCTCTGGTTTCGTTTATGAAATCCATGCGCGACTTAAAAAGGGCAATAAGGAGGTCATCATGATATTTCTTCTCTTGAGGAAGGAAGCCTGGTGGTGCGTTTAAAGCATTGTTAGGATTCCCATATGACAGATTTGGATGGTTTCTCAATCTGTTATCATAGGAATTGGAGTATGGGTAATTCTTCCTTCCTTGATTCATTACATAGTTTACTTGCTCCAAGGTTTGCGGATTCAAAGAGTCTATCATGCATTCTCCAATCCCATGTTGTCCATTGCATCTGTCACAAACTTGCATAATAGAATTTACTGGATTAGTAGTTAATACGTCCAATTTTCTTACCATGTTATCTACCTTGGCATTGAGTGCTGTAATGGCATCTATTTCATAGACTCCTGCAGTTCTCTTCCTTTCGGTATTGTTTTGATAATGGCATATGGCTATTGCTCGCCATCTCCTCTATAAATTCATATGCCTCATCAATTCTTTTTTCTCTCAAGAAGATCCACCTACAGCTGCATCAAAAGTGGGATTTTTAATGTTAGGTGACAATGCATTAAGAAAGTTTGTTACCTGTAACCACTTGGGCAAACTGTGATGAGGGCACTTTCTCAAAAGTCCTGAATCTTTCCCAAGCTTCATACAAGCTTCTTGTATCATGGTGGCAAATGTCATTATCTCATTGCCGCAGTTTTGTGGTCTTTGAAGATGAAAGAATTTTGCTAAGAACTTTTGGGCTATTCTTCCCATGTTGTGAAACTTCCAGCGGGGACATGATTGTAACCAAGACGTGCTTTATCCCTAAGAGTGAAAAGGGAAAAGTCTCAGTTTTAAGGCAATCTTCAGAAACATCCCGTCTGTTTGAAAAGTGTCGCAAATTCGCAAGGAAATTTGTGGATATGAGCGTTAGGATCTTCACTGGGCAACCCCCATATTGGATTGGAGGGTGGAAAGCAATTGGATAAATTGCGGGTTTGATTCAAAATTATTAGCTTCCACCCGACCACCCGAGGTCTTGTAATACTCGAGGTTGTCCCATTAAGATTAGGTGTTGTGTAGTCTCGCAAGGTGCGGACCGGATGTTGAAGTGGAGGTCCGTTTGCGTTTTTGTTTTCGTTTTCATTTTCGTTGACCATGTCTGCTTGCTGTTCAGGTCTTATTTCATGTGTTCTTCTTGCGGTGTTGTTCCTGCGACAAGTTCTTTCAATTTCTGGATCAAAGATTAGGGGTTCAGTCCTACCTGATCTTTTTTGCATAAGCACCTGAAATAAGTCTTAAAAGAACAGTTAAATAAAACAAAAGGATGTCTAAATTAACAATAGGATAATTAGTATTGATATTGATAATGCCAATCCCCGGCAACGGCGCCAAAAACTTGACAGTGATTTTCGCAAGTGTACGAAATCGCAACAAGTAATAAGAGTAGAAAAGTAAGTCCGTATCCACGGAGATTGTATATCAAGTAACCAAAATATGTTTAACCTATTAATTAATTTTTAAACCGACAATAAGAGAGATTTGTTAATAAGGAAAGTAAATTCAAATAAGTAAAACAGGAAGAAATCAAGCACAAATTTAGATGAAAAGAAAATTAAGGGATTTTAAAACTACTAGGGGATTATTGATTTCACTTAAGTTCTATCCAATTAATTACTATTAGTTTGTTTATCAATTTTTTAATTGTTCGAGTAGGGGAAACAACCCAAAATCACTAACAGCTCTCCGATGTATTGTTAGCTAATTCTAAATCGGTCCAATTGCCTATCTTCCAATAGCACAATCAAACATGAATTAAATCATTAAGTTTTAATGGTTGTTTTCTTGAATTCATAACCTAAGGCTATTAAACGCTAGAAAACCCATGAGTCAAACCAATAAGCTTCGCATCAGTTATTAATTCTCATGTAAATTATTACTTTTTCGTATCAAAACCCTTCTTCCGATAGTGATTAATGAAATAATTCAATCCAGGGATAATACTCTGGCCTGGAAGCTTAAGTTCAATAATAATATAACAAGAACAAGGAAAGCAAAATCTAATATTATAAATTTGGAAATCAAATTAAGCTACATCAAATCCTAGTATGAGAGTTTAACGATCGCATAGTAATTAATAAAACTCAATAATACTTTGAATAGAACTTCATAATATAATGAAAATGAAAAGAAAGACAAGATTAAGAGTTTAGAAATAAAAACTAGACAACAGCTTATAAATGGATGGCTCCCTGAATCCTTGGCACAAATCTTGACACTTGATATCTTTGAGAGAGAGAGAACTATGTAGAAAAAATACTAAGAATTCGAGTTCTTTTACAATGAATAGCCTCCCTCTTTTATATAGACCTGCTGGAGGAAAATCCCTGACTCTGTTTAGGAAATAGAATCCCTTATTAAGTACGAAATTTCCTTTGGAGATCATAACTGATTAGGCCTGGATTTCTTCCTTAGTTAGGACTCTTCCTCTCTTCCTAAATAGGTTTTTAGATCTTGTTTTGGCACAGTTTTAGGAAATAATATCTGAGGGCGGGCCCATGTGAGAAAAGATTGGGCTTGTGTTTTTTAGTTCAAGTCAGCTCTGGGCTTCTGTATGCGCGGGTGTGGGCCCCCAATTTCCCCTAGCAACGGCTTGGGCGTGGCTTAGAGTCTGGAAGTTTTTTTTGTCTATGAATGATTTTATCACGGGCCGCTGGCTATACAACCGCTCAGATGAGTCTTTTGTGGCACGGGCCGTGCCGCCTAAGCACGGCTAAGGCGTTACTAAGGCTCTGTCCTCCAGATAGAATTTCATCACGGGCGTGCTAAGCAAACACG